GGAAGCAAACATTAGCAGACAATTAATATTAAAAAATTCAAAATCTTTCCAGTGCAGAAGACAACTATAAAATTGATGTTATACATGGACTTCAGGTATCAGTTCTTGCTATTAAAAAAAGAAGTTTGAGAAGTTAAAAATATTGTTAATCTTCACAACATTTTTCTATAAAAATGGGAGAGAGCAGATTTTAAAAAGCTGTACCAAGTGAAGTCTGGGGTACTTTCTGAGCCCATGGGAATTTCAGTGTATTTATTTTTAGAAGCAGAGTCAAAATCTGGGATAAATTAATAAGACTTTTGTTTCCTGGACCCACTGAGAATTCCAATTCCACTCATTCCTGAAAAGGCCAACCTAATGATAACCAGAGTAATCATTCCTGCTTCTCAGCATGATAGCTTGCTGAAAAAAGGCATGGAACTCTTTTGTCCAAACCCAATATATGTTGGTCCAAAAACAAACAAACAAACAAACAGGCTTGCTGAAAAAAGGCATCGAACTCTTTTGTCCAAACCCAATATACTGAGTTGGTCCAAAAATAAACAAACAAACAAACACTCTGAAATTTCAACATGCAATAGATTTATTAAGATAACTTTTATCCCATACGTTTTTTGTCTTAGAAAATAAAACCATTGAGCAACAAATGAATAGCTGTTTGAGCCATTCACAGAAATTCTGGATTAGGCAACACCTTTACTGGATAACGAAAAGTTACAAGCAAGGCAAGCTTTCAGTTTCTACAGAACTCTTCTTTCAAGCAAAGATGATAAAAAATGGAAGAGTTATGTAGAATTTCAAACCTTACCTTAGACATTATTTGCATTTCCTAATGATCCTGTAAAAGAACTGCCTAATGTAGAACTCTGTACACGGCAAGTCATGAAATTTGGAGATTGGATAACAAATGCCATAAAATGCCAGTCTTGTAAGTGTAACTCTATGTGAGTTCTGCAACAAAACATGACTTAAGGATAAGTAGTTACATGTTAAAAATTCAGGCTTTAGCACCAGAAATGGTCTTCACCTGCATTACATTGGTGAAATACAAATGTACGTATCTAACAGTAGTGGGAGAGGATTCGGTACTGTGTACAGTATCTGTCAGCTGGATTTAATGTTTAGTTTCTGAAACACTAGTGCACAATATGGAAGAGGGTGATGGAGAAAAGCAGATTTTGAAAAGTAACCTAAATCTTAACACAATCAAATGTGATTTATAGGAGGTCTGTTTCTTCCTTTCAAAATCTAAGCATTCGAGACTGAAGGCTGTTCTTTAAGTTGGCACTATAAATCAAGAAGGACAGGCAAAACCCTTCAAAGACAAGGAAATATGCTTATCGAATTTCACTTGTCACATTCCAAATTGACACTATTTACATATATAAGACATGATTTATTAATTGTAGATATTTTCTATTTAATGTGCATATATTTCTCAAACCTTGGACATAGCAATGTGAATAAGAACACAGGTACATTTAGGTTTTATGATATATGCCTTTTACATGCACATTATTTTAAGCAGCACCCAGGAGGATGGAATTTTGACATATGAGCAGGACATTAATGGAGAATCAAGAAGGTACATGAACAATAATTGTGTCAAAGGAAATCATCTCTCTAATTACTCAAACAATGTGTTTTACATACAATATTAAAAGCACATCTTTAGGTATCATGGTCATAAAACTAATACTGTGGAGGTGACAAGCTCCTTGCTAAAACAGTCAAAACTATGGAGAAGATGGAGGCATGTCACTCACACTACTATGATTATCTAGTGCAGTGGTTCTTAACCTTTGTTACTCAGGTGTTTCTGAACTGCAACTCCCAGAAACCCCAGCCAGCAGAGGTGATGGTGAGGGCTTTTGGGAGGAAGCTGAAGGCATGCCACTCGCACTACTATGATTATCTAGTGCACTACAATTGTGTTCTCTGCTTACTGAAGGGGGGTGTTGGAATGAGTGTGAAATTTGCTTCATACCAAGTGATCTAGTGCACTACAATTATGTTCTCTGCTTACTGAAGGGTGGTGGTGGAATGAGTGTGAAATTTGCTTCATACCACATACAAATTATATACATATGAATACATGTTCTGCAATGTAGATGTTTGTAGTCTTGATGTGTTTCCATTTGTAATGTGCCTGGCTCACTCTTGTACTGGGATACATCAGAGCCTGGAGTTGCTTTAAGTGGAACAGAATTACTGAGGGGAGTTGGTGTGATTTTCAAGCCCAAGATTCTTTACAGCCACACAAATGAGGTCATCACGAGGAGAGAGGGCCTTGGTGCGAACTGTAACTTCTTCATAACTGAGTGCACAACAACCTGTTGCCATCCATTGAGCTTCGCTTGGGGATCACGAAGGATAATGGCTTCCACTCAGGCTCGCACTCAATTTCCTTTTGAAGCTGAGGCCAGCCGCTTTCTCTCTTTCAAGCCCTGCAACGCCATGGTCAAGGAGACCATGCGCTGCCCAGGAGTTTGGGCTTTTAAACCCCTGCATAACCATTGACAGACGGCCCTTTAGTCTTGCACAGCTCCGAGGACCAGTAAGTGGAGGGCAAAACCAACCGGGTTTTCCCGGTTTCTCAAAGGGCGGCGGGAAAGGCCTGGGTGAACACGTTTCTAGGGCAAAGACCGGGTCTATCCAGGTGAAGGGATGAAGATAGCGCTCGGTGTTTTTCGAGCTTTTTCTGTGACTCACGTCCGTCGTTCCCAGCAAGAGAGGGCACGTAACCATCCCCAGATTCCGGGCCTTCCCGGCACGTCCAACACTGCCCGAGAGCTCTTCCGTGCGCTTCGCTGGATCCCGCGTGTTCCCAGCTCGTGTCCCCAGGGGATGGCTGGGGGAGGCGGCGGGCGGGCGGGCAGGCGGGCGGCGGCAGGGGCGGGAAGGAGGGAGGAAGGCGGGCAGGCGGACGGGCGTCTCCGCTCGCTCCCATTGGTACGTGTGCACGCTCCCGAGCGGCATGTCCCCTGTAGTATCCGGCGGTGTGAGGCGAACATGGCATTTCCCGCGTGGAGCTCGCTCGAGCAAGGCCGGAGGAGGCAGCCGGAGGAACAGCAGCCTGGCGTCGCCCGGGTGAGGCGATGCCGCGGGCGAGGGGGAACTGATCCTTCTTTGCCGGCCCATGGCCTCCGGCTGGGAAGCACCCGAGCAGCAGCCCCCGGCCGAGTTCAGGGAGGACTCAGTAGAAAGCATGAGGAAGATTTTCATCAATTACGCCGCGAGGAGCCGCGAGGATGGTGGCCGAGGCGGGCGGG